GGGGGGGGGGGGGGGGGGGGGGGTGTACTCATAGTCGTGCATGCCGTAGTCTTTAGACCATTGACCTCGCATCCCTACAAAGCCGGGACAGAGCACGCCGGGTTCTCACCAGGCTTTCACATCACCAAGCGCGATGCACCGGGAGGTATTCGGCAAGTCGCATGAAGGGTATGGTGCATCCTGCTAAGGGTGTTCGGCATCTTGTGCTTACTCCCTTGCGTACGGATGACAGCTGCGTATGACTTAATTTATTTTCTGGTGCTTTCACTTCCAGAGACAAGTTACAAGCACTGTGTAACTGCCTCGAGGGTGCTTGACCATTTTAACACAACGTGGTGCGATCATCCCCTTTGCGCGGAGTGAGGGTTATCGACCCCGCACAACATAATCAACTCGACCACCATTATGGTTACCGCCAAAAAAAAAACAGAGATATAAAAAAAGCGGCAACCTTGCTGCCGAGCTCACGAAGTGATCGGCTTGTTTTACAACGTCGTTGTCAAGCGACGAAAACCCAAACCCAATGGCAAACACCGGGGGGGGGGGGTTACACACCGATAGGGCATGCAATAGTATGGGAGAAGTATTGTACACAATAGCCCTTAAGAGGGAACTAGAACCAAGGCTCGATAGAGGTTGGGAGCCTCTATTGTCTTCGAATGTAGGATTGTAGTAACAAGCAACCGGGGGCGTGGAGCGAGAAGAACGGCACTTTATCGTCACTCTATTTGTACGGACCCAGGAACACAAGAAGAACGCTTCCTCAGGAGTGAGTAGCCGTGGAGCGCCAATCGACGGTGGCGCCGAGACGGAGCTGATATACATTAATATATGCAGCGAATGATAGGTGCCAACTATTCTGGGAGCAGGTCAAGAAAAGCGGGTATATTTCATCAGGGGTGGGTTATCGTTCGAGGTTGTTTCGTCGGCGTTGCAATCCAAGAGTACGTGTACCAAGGAGAACAAACCGGAGCGCTTTCGTAGAGGCGACTACTCTCCATCATTGTTGCAGAACTGAAAGTCGTTCAAACCGCAACCGACATGATGTGTATCATCGGCACACGTGTGCTGTCGTTAATGCCAAAGTTGTCGGTGGCATCAAAACTGTGCGCCTTCCCAGACGTTTACGATGCCATTGACGAGACATGCCTCATACTGGAGACGTATCCTGAACAGGGATGAACTGCTGTGTCCTGAACAGAGCATGAGATACCAAAGAATCTACCGTGTGGACGGTTCTCTGTTCGAAATCATTGCACGTTTGAGCGGTAAACATTGCTGTTTCCCTCGACGTGTTTTCAACTCGACGACTCTTTCTTCCTCACCTTGATTGCGGCGATGACTCTGCCGACAAACAGCCGCTTCGTCTGAAGCACAATCTGCTCCCATGAGAAACAACGAGATGGCCAGAGAAGCAACGCCAGAGGGATGTGATGTGGGGTTAGGTTTGAGTTGGAAAGGGTGAAGCTCAATGACAAAGCATCACGTCGGAGATAGGCACGTGGCCGTCCCTGGTCACCCCCGGAGCAATCGAGAATGGGCGATTCTGTGGGGTTTGATTCGTCACGCATCGCGATATTACACTTGTGGCGTTGGCATGTTAAGCATGACCTACCAAAAGCGACGCTAAACATGGAGGCAGACCACCCAATCCAGTGACTACGATTTCGAAATTGTCGGGGCAGCCGTGGGGTAACGACCGTCTTGAATTTTTCCACAGAGACTCACTTTGGCTTGGTTTGAAACCCCAGTCGGTTACACTGTGTACGCTGAACAAGTACCAACACCGACCCCAGGTGCTATCTCTACCTTCTTATTCCATCCAACAACCGGGCCCCGAAATGTGCAGCGTCACGAACCGATAACCGGTATTGCATTCACCAAACGCACCCTATACAGCTCTCCAGCAATCCGAAGCCAGACCCACGCCATGAGCGGCGCCAAAACTTCCTCCCAAGACCAGCTGATGTGGCGATCCAACCTAAGAACTAAGAGTACCTGCGCTTGTCGTTTGCAGGGAGGGTTTGCCTTTAACATTGGCTCATTTACAGGGTTGGAATCAAGGGGTGAGTGCAGCTACGGTGAAACTAACGTAGGGTTTTGCAGCTACGTATGCATCGGTGTGCACGCAACCCTAATGTGTGATATAGACATGATCAGCAGTACAGAACGAGAAACGATGACTGCCTTGGCACTTGCATGTCACGACTGCATTCAGCCAGAAAGCACTGTGGGAGTTTTGCGCCTTTCCATGGACATGCAAGGTGCTCAACGTAGTTCGTTGATCGCCGACACGCGCGGAGGAGAGGGCAGTAGTTTCAACGCCAGAACAAAGGACACCCAGTATAGACACCAATGCAGCGGATAGAAACGTGCTAGATGTGAAGGGCAAGTCCGTCTATGCGCGTGCCAAGTGCCGTGTTTCGCCAGGACCGCCCTATCAAGGCAGGTAGGGGGAACCCAAACCTGTGCATGTACGTTGACCCAACAGTAGTCGGACAGCCTTGATTTCCGAAGACGATAGGCTGGAAACAGCACACATCATTCGCCGCGTCACGCCACGCCTCGCTTTCGCACAAAATCTGTTAGTGAATGATGCGCCTACTTGAAACATGCACACAACACTACAGAATATTAGCCTCTGGCCAGAGAAAACCACGCAAAGCCTACAGCAGGGGGCGCCTAAGGACGACGAAGGAATCAAGACAGTGACATCTAGCTCAGGTAACAGCCGTGTCACCGAAAGCGGTGGACGTGGTCCAGGTAACACACCTGAAACAAAACGAGCAACCCCCACTTCACGAGCGCAAGCACCCTCATCGACATCGGGTAAGGGTCTCGCCACTCGCCCTGCCACTCGGCCGGGGCCTTGATAGGTCCCCAGCTCACAATAAATACGAAGAACATCAACCCTGTAGTAGTGGTGGAGCAAAAAAATGATTGAAGAGTGCACACATGGGCAGCACCAACAATGGCTCGCAGAAGTGACAAGCTCGCGATAAACCGGCAAGCGAAGACCGACGACATTAAAAGTGTAAAAAAAACTGAGCTTACAAAAAAAAGGCTACACAATCAACACCTGACAGTCGTTCATCTCTAGCGAATGTGCCCAAGAAGGAAGCGGCGTAAACCATATCTACTTACAGCTGGCGATGGAACGAACTTTGTGGTAAGATCAATGGTGCTGTTGATTCCTCGTCTTTGCTACGTGCACACGGTCTAACCATTCCGAAACTTGGAGTGACATTAACTTCCTCTACAGCAACGTCAACCGCCATGGTGGGGGGATATCTTGAAGTGTCTAGAAACAAACCCCTGAAGAGAACGAACCAGGAAACGGCATTGTGGTTGGAAACCACGCACGAAATGCCATCCCGACATTCCTGAGGGGATCTCGCGTCGAAACATTGTTTTTTTAATACTCATAAAAAAAACAAAGCTCTCGTCCTGCACTGGCGTGTCTTACCAATGCCATCAGTAATCCACAGAGGGGTCCACACGGCCGCCCAGGACATGGAGGTCGTCCCGTCTACCCTCAGGGAGAACAAGATGGGCCACAGCAGCGACACGCTCACCAGAAGAATGACCGTGAGCACCACCAACGCGATGTCTCGCTTGCGTCTCTTGAGAAAGCCGTTCAGCAGAGACTGTTTGGTCCCGCCGTGAGCAGCGACAGCAGCAGCAGCAGCAGCAGCAGCAACGTCGGCATGTTTGCCGTTGAAGACTCGGCGTAACGTGCGCACGCATGTACACACAGCAGTCTTCCCTACCAAAATACATCATAGGTGTTTCCCCAAGCGTAGGGATAAGGCACCTAAGTGAGGCTTGCCGGTGGATGGCAGCCGCAGTTGTGTGATGTTCGCTGTTATTGAGGACCGGTCGAGGGCGTGGATGGTCGGGAAGGAGACCAAGGATTCTTCGAGCAACAACGCGCGCTTCCAAGGGACGGGTACATCATTTGAAGGCGCGTATGGGAGCAGCCAAAAGGCAACATCATACGTCTGGTTTATGTCATACTCGCTGGGAGGCGTCCTAAGGGGTAATCGAATCGACTGTAAATGCTTTCACCTCAGTGCCGCCAAGCAGAATGGGAACGAAGTCATCGTAGCAAGCGATGGCCGTCTGCTGAGGTCCCTGTTGTGCGAGAACCGGAGAGAGGAGCCCCACAAAAGTGTAAATTAATATGACCTTCACGAGCAAGAAAAGTGTATGAAGCAATTCTATTCCCATAAACGATGGTTCAGGGGACTTGGAGGAGAGGAAGGTTTTGATGCAATCCTGGATCGGAGCTATGTTCGGTGACAAGAGAATAATACTGCTGTTTTGGTCGATGTGTAGTACTCAGGGTACGCAGAAGAGCTCGGCACTCGCTGCAGAATATTTCCACAATGTGAACGAAACACGATGAACAGGCTCTTCAAGGACGACGTTACGAAAAACTTCGTTGGCGTCGCGCCGGGTTTTGGGAACGGGCTATGTACCACGTAGACTACTGACACAGACACGGAAGTCGCCACACCCCTGAGGTACAATTCGATCACCGAGAAATACCTGTGCAACGATTTTTCCAGACAACAGATTGATTCTACTTCTGCCCCTAACAACACACGTGCATATTGCTTGTATCACTGCCCTCTCGCTTCAGCGATCAGCGTCTCTCACCGAATGGCTCTTGCTCTTTGGGAAAAGAAGTCTATGGAACGCTGAATGTAAAACCGAAAAGTCGAAAAGCAACTGAACAGCAAGCAGTCGCAAAAAGACTACAAACAAATGCTGGCCACCACGTCGAACCATGCCATACAAAACTCATTATAAGCAGCCGTAACCATTAGAGAGCAAATAAATCATCGTCAAAGAAATAACTCTACCCGAAGCGCAGCCTCAGCGGCTAGCTAAATAGTCAAGTCTAAGCAAACGAAGAGGTGCTGGTGTTGTTGTGCATACAGACATTCAGACGTACAAAGATCTATGTAAGTTATCGGTGCCGGCATACTATTCACAACGTACATAAGTTTTGCACAGATAGGAAGTACGGCCTAGAAACATACCCATGCTGGAGCGGAGCTCGCAGAAACCTCCAGGCTCGCCATGCGTCAACGGGCTGCTGCATGTTCGCCATGAGCGCCGAGCAAAGGGACAAAAAAAATGTACAGGAATTGAGAATTTCGTGCGGGACATTTAGACTATACAGACGACTGCTGCAGTCTGCAAACAGCGATGGATGAGCAGGTTGAGGAGGAATTAGTGCGACCTGAGATGCGACACGTACGCGTGTAGTTGCGCCGTAGTATCGATAAGGACTACGAGGGCCCGGAGGCACAAACGGCACGAGAAGCACGTATGCATACGTCGACCAACAGGTGGGATGACAGAATGTCCAATAGCAGACGTCCGCCATACTTGGCCAACGGCTCTCGGAACGAGACCGAGTTCGTAGGATGCACAACATGGGTTGTTCATGCCTGGGACCTCACGTGCGTCAAGTTCACCACCCAGACCCGAGGACTGAAAGCTGCCAAACTAGCGCAAGAAGCAGCAGCAGCAGCAGCAGTGGCAGCAGCAGCAGCAGCAGCAGCAGCAGCAGCAGCAGCAGCGGACAGGTGGAGACGTGGAGACAGGAAAACAAACAAAGCGAGCGAGCGAAGCGAGCGGCGGAATTGGAGAGGCAGATATGACACAAAAAGGAAGCGAGGCGTTTTTGGTTCCGTGAGAGAGAAACCAGCAAGCAGCAGGCTGACAACCAGCCTTACAGCCTCGGGTGTCAGAGAGACACAGGAAAAGAGAGGTTGAGATACTGTCAAAAGGAAAATCTATGCCTCCAGTCGTAGAGCATCTGAAAAGTGAAACACCAGCGCTTTGTGGTGCCAGTCTGTCTCCTCCCTCCTCCCCCTCAGGCATGCTTCGGGACTGTCACCTTCCACGATCCTCACTTCGAAGGTCTTCTTGTTTTGCCAATGACCAAAGACCAAGGCATGGTATGTGCAAAGCTACAGCAGGCGTACTGCATGTGAGCTAATGATTTCCGCGCTAAATTGATGAGAGTGTGTGGGTCGCTCCGCTGATTCATTTAGTTGAGTAGGAGAGACAACCGGAACACACTTCATGCACAGACACGGTGCTTCCCAACGCATTCCTCTCATGCACGGTCTTGATACAAACCCACATGAAGGCGGGTCTTCTGAGACATCCATAAAAAAAAAAAGATTCACCTGCAAGTCTAGATTTGGGAGACACTACTGCTGTCGTGGGAAAGACTAAATTATCCATGTCCGTGCTCAGCCCTTCGGAGGAAAGTACAGTTTTTGCCTCGATGTTTGCGAACTCATGCTAACCGACAACGTTAGCGCCGTGCAGTTCAAGAAGTCAGCAAAACCGAAGTATAGCCTAACTCCTTGGCAGACGATACAACAGAATCCTCGCCAACTGAGACCATCAAAATGACATCTGGCAGTAGCAGCTGGACACCTACGTTGCGTTGTGTCGCGGCCAGAGGTTCCAACGTGTTTCTCTTACTCTGGTCCAAGCACATGATGGCACCCAAGACTAAGAGAACCGATCGTTGTTGCGGAGGTGCTACTTGTACATCCAAACTACTGACTGGAAAACTCACACTCTTACTTTCGCGAATTCATTCCCTGTCAAAACCTTCCAAATACGGGTCTCCGTCCTGGTTTCAACCGCTGCCGCTGGTACCTGTTCTGCCTGCCCACCACAACAGCTTCACGAAACTACGCTGTTGGTGTTGGCGCTGCTGGCGCTCCAGCAGGCTCGGCTTCTCACCAAATATCTCACGGTTGGGCTGCTTGCAAGACACAGACTAGACAAACACACTCAGACGCCCAGCCCACATGCGGGCAAAGAGACACCCTCCTCAAACAAGAGCCAAAGGGATGGAAGAAAACAACATTTCCGACGAGACGTGGTACATATTGCACAACATAGAGCAGTCTTGGTTCTTACTTTTTTCGTGTTGCTGCCCCACCTCCCGTGCTCAAACAACAAATTCCACACCGACAAGAGAGATCTTGCACTCTACATATCCAAATATCTTTGATCCGCTATCGGCTCTTCTCCCCTCTGCATGCGAATATTGATTGCGTGCGAAACAGCCGAACAGCATCTAATTATCGGCGCACCAGCTGCACCCAGCCGAATGCAGTGGTAATACACCCCCCGTTCGATCTCTGTCTTCCTTACACCTACCGAACCGGTGGGTAGCGCATTCGATGCTGTGGAAGTTGAGCTCGTTCTGTCGGAGCCGGCTTTCCGAACGCTCTTTCCATGGCTCCGCCCTCAACCGTACCGCTCTCCACTGTCATTACAACTCAATCCTGCCACAGATCCATCCGCCTCAGCCTCTCGACACGTACCTACAAATCATCTTCCACCTTAGCATCGTCGGAGCCACCTACTGTCGACATCGTTGACAAAGGATGCGTTGCGGGTGGAAGATGCGTTCCCTCAGGAGGTGATACTTCAGAACCTCCTGCAGCCTTGGACCCATCCTCAATCTTACCATCTTCCATTCTCATCAATTCCGACCCTTGTTCCAACTCGTCTGCGTCTGCACCATCCGTTTCATCCTCCAACTTGACATCTCCCGGGCCGCGTATTACCGAGCCCGTCGAAAGGGCAGAGGTCACGGATGGCCCGTCTGCTCCCTTCGGAGATGCGGGCTCAGAAACCACGCTCGCTTCTACTCCGCCATCAACCTTACTGTCCTCGATCGCCGACATCTCCACGTCTGCTACAGATCCGTCCGTCACTGCGCTGCCTCGTCCATCTCCAAGAACACCGTCACCTTGACTCTCGGAATAATTCCCATCCACCTTGAGCGGGGATATTGCTACCAACGCCAAGCACATCTTGCCAACCATGCAACAGCTGGCTACTGTAACCAACACTAACCTCGCGCGGGAGGGAAGGTCATCGTGCTTGTACACGTGGTAGACCACCATGCACACGATGAACTCCACAAGCGTCAAACCCAGGCCAATTCCAAACGCTGTCGTCTCGTCCATGATGGAGTCCAAGAAGGGCATGGCCACCAGCCTCACCCAAAATCGAAACCCCAGGACTTCTCTGGCTGCCATCCAAACCATCAAGGCCCGGCTTACCCACAGATACACCAACACAAAAAAAAACCACCCACGTACCACTAGTAGTAGCATGGCCAGGGGGACGAAGCGAGCAACAATCTCGAGGACGTGGTACACGAGGCAGAGCCACACGTGACTGCGCGGATGAACGTTGCCCAACCCTCTCAAACTGGAGGTTCCTTGCGCTGGCACCCGACTGAACACTAGTCCTGTCAGGGACGGAAAGCATGGGCAAAGCCTAAACCTCTCACCATCCTTACCGCCATCGCAAGTCGAAAGCCTCTCTACACTGGAGACATCGGTGGCGGCATAGGCCAGGCTGGCCGCCGAGATGCACACGGAAACTACACGCCATGCCAAGCGGCTAGAGGTGAACGATGTCTCGGTCCAGAGCCAAAGCATTGCATGCAGCTGGAGCAACAACTGGGGCACCGATTCAAAAAGTGGCTCAATGACGCGCACAAGCGCCAGAACTGGGGAATAGTCCGCCTTTGTAAGAGTTATCAAGGCTTCGGCTAGCAAGCTCAACTGGGCCGCCACCAAGAAACGACGGAACCACCCAATGCCGGAGAGACAGAACAAGGACATGATGACCGCCGGCCCCAGGGCGAAGACAAGCCCAAGTCCAAACCAAACAAAGTGCCTTGCCTCGTAGTAAGACACCGCAGTGTAGAGATCCGAAGCCAAGTCAGCATACCCAAGGAGGACTGGTACTATCAGAACCTTAAATGCATGGAGAGGGCCTCTGACGGCAGGGAGAGGGGGTCCATTCAATGCAATCCCTGTGATGAACTTACCAAAGCGTGGGAGCTTCTGTACCTCCAGCGGAATCGGTCCTGTTCGAGGCAACAACCAAGCGAGGGGTTCAGCTGTCACTTCACGCGTGTGCCTGGTTGTCTGCAGATTTCACCTTTGTGGGGTTGGGAGGGTTGGTGCCATGGGGGTTCGCAGGGGTGAAAGTGTTTGAGCGAGGCATGCAAGGTCTGCAAATGGTAGCGGTACACGCCCAATACAAACCCGTTTCCCGCACGGATGCACAAGGCTCCTGAGCTCGGCTCGCCACCTTCGGGGCATCCTTGTCCAAAGAACATGTGTTCGGAGGTGTTTTTACCATGACGCTCATAGGACGACCTGACCGGGATACCAAGACAAATACTTGGCAAGGCGTTTCCTGCATGATGTTTCGAGAACTACGAAGGAGAGCACAAACTTATTTATGATGCGGTCACGATCACAATATAATCGCGCTGAGAGGTATTTGACATGAGCGTGTTTTATACACGTCAACGCCTTGTTTAGGCGCCTTCTTGAAGCTGTGTAGATTAGTGCAAGCAGCAGGGCAGCAGTAGAGGAAATTGAGTCGCGTGTTTTCCATCAAGATTCAAGTCAGAACTTGACGTTGCCACGATGCCTTCGGGTTAAGGAAAATGGTTGGGTTTGTTGACCCGCACGCACTTATCCGAGATTCAGGCTAATACATCTGTTCCAAACATCCGTGACTGCATGAAAAGACGTGGCGGACTGAATTCCGACAGCAGCCCGTGGCACAGCATTCATCCTGATTCCTACGTATTTTCGCTCCTCGGAGACTCGTTTTGTGTATTTTCGACCACCACGTGGAACGATACCCCACTTGCACACAGCTCTTTTTGACGCCATACGCGATCGTCCATTCACCCGGCAGGGTTAATCAGCCTCCACACCAACACAAGGGTTTGAAACGCACACAGCTCGCTACTAAAAGAATCACACGCAGGGGGGTGTAATCCAAACCGTCTTGCCTAAAATCAACAATGGTTGCGTGCTGCGTTCTCAGCAATCTCCTTTAGGAACGATCAAAACACTAGATGGCACTACGAAGTCTAGCACGGGACGAGTATACGTCTGAACACTTGTCTCGTACTATGTTCGCATGTCGAACAGTTTCGACAAGCGTTGTTTGGTAGGATCTAGCCTGGGGGAGCTGGAACACGGTACGGTTTCGAACGGTATGCACTTGTACCAGCGAATTAAACGAAGAATTGTTTTCGCACGTTCAGTAACTGTCCTTGCACCTCGGCTCGTTGATGATGGGACTATATAGCAAGTGGAATGCCGTAGTAAATAGGACTGGGTCGGGGGTGCTGACAGAAGATGTACATCAACAGAGAATATCGGTGGATGAATCGGCCCTGTGACGTTGCTCATTGCTACCGAAGGAAGGTCTACAGCCACCAATGTGAGCACCGTTGCTAAGACCGTCGCCAAGAGTATCGCCAAGTGTGCTGGGAATTGCAGAACGCCAAAAAAAGTGTCTCAATTAAGCAAAGGTGGTTGAGGTATTCTGGGCACTACGAGATTCACCATCGACCATTTCAAAACGTTACCTGCTCTGCTCCAGCAGAGTCTATCCCCAGCAACCTTTATGCTCGAAGGATATACTGGTGCTGCGAGATAGTGGCCTGGATGGCGAATCTATTCCCATGAAGGATGGTGATGCTCATATGCAAAACTCCTCCGTCCCTCGTAGGCAGGTCACGATCTACGGAGACCGACTTGTGCATGGGCTCTAGAACTCTCGCGCGACGCAAACTCACCAATCACCCGTGCATATTTCAAGTGAGAAAGGCCATCATGAAACTCACCGCTCAGCTGATTGTTATGAAGATAGAGCCGCTCCAGACCGCGCAAGTTTCCCAGCTCCTTGGGTATGAGCCCTCCAAAACGCAGCACGGCGGCAAAAGCAAAATAAAAAGATCAAATGATCGAGCTTCTGAACAGATCATGGGCGGGACACACCCGCGTCACAAATTGAACATGTTGCCCCGGTTGTTGCAAACCTTTCCGTCATCACCTTTCCGCATATTTTTCTGCGACTGGCAGCAGTCATGCCCAAGGAGCTGGATTGCCTTACCGAGCTCAAGTATCTAGCTTGAGCGTGAACCAACTTGCAGGGGACAAGGGTGGACTGCAATTTTCGCACTATTAGTTCGAGCGAAGTTTTCGGCGGCGTTCTAGCAGGTACTCAATGAAAACATGAAATCGCCAACTCACGAACGATTGGGCACGTGGACTGACAATACTTCAGTATCACGACGCGGTTCAAACAACTTTCGACTTGCAGCTCGTAGGATCCATCCCTAAGGAAGTAGAAGTCATTGCCGAGGTCACGGGTTCTGCCTTGAGCAGCAACCAATTCGTGGGTGAGGGGAGTCGAACTGTAACTTGTCCACGCTGGCTTCAAGAACACCACCCACTCTCCCACGCGTATTGGCGAGACAGATGACCCAGCAGAGAGAAACAAATTGCAAATGTGATAGCATGTGACGTTGTCGGCTGCTGGTGCAGGTTCCACCCCCTAGGAGCTGGGCTCTTTGATGTGGACACGTCAGGATACATGATGTAAACTACACCATACCTGTTCTTCTGCAGCCACGCAGGCGAGATTCCGGCGACGCTAGGACAGCTCGGGAGATCCATTTCCCTGTCGACCAAGCTCAGCGGTGAGTGGTTTCAAGGTGAACATAAACTCTACAGCTTACGCGTTGGCGGTATGCGTGGCAGATTGACGCCAGATTTGTGAACAGCGATTCACCCGCAGTTTGCGCAGGACGTACGCGATGGGAGATCTCAAGATCTCAGCATGTCGAAGGTGCTTTGGCTCGACAACGACCCGCTCACCGCTAAGAGGCATGCATTACCTTTTGTGTGTTGTCCAATTCGTACAAGTTGGTTCCGCTAGCTTAAACACGTGACCTACTCAACCACGCGTTGGCAGGACACCTATGCTGGAAGCCAGCGAAAATAACTTCAACACGCGCGTCCGCCCAACAATAAGTTACCTAGTAGCTGGTTGTCGTTGAGCACCAAAAAATCCAGTTCGCTGAGATCTCCCAGCGCCTCGAAGATAGGCCCTGCCCATGGGAGTACCGCCCGGGAAACATATCATCGAGAATTTTATCAAAAGAATTTCAAAGATCCGTCCAAGCTTCTGACCAGGAATCGTCTACTCACCCACTCGTTGGCGAGTGGGTGTTGAAGAAAAGTCAAGCTTGCGTCGAGGTGTATTTCTGCAGACCTTCCGTAGGCCCTGGGGCGCTGGGGGCACTCAGCGAGCCGGACGAGCTTTGGCTGGACGAGAACAAGCTCGCCAGCGAGGGAGAATGAGATTTGAAGGTTTGCTTCCTAGAACATGAGCCCCGTCTGTGCGAGGGCGGGGCTCACCTTCTAGACGCCGCAAACTCTGTGAACTGAGGGCATTGAACGGTCCACGCTTCATTGTCATCCATGGGGTCTATACCCCCGGACCTCCGAAAGCTGGGCTCTACCGACACCTATATCTGTTTCACAGCTATTTCAGCTGAGCGGTGAGCTTCGATTCACCGGCTTCGGTGCATGACTCTTTGAAGGGCATTTTTTTCGTTTTGGAAGACGTGATGACCTGCTTTACCTACCCATGCCTTCGAAGACTAGTAGGTGATCTACAACATGCGTGACATGTTTAACATACTTCTCACCGGTGAGCTGGTTGTGGTGGAGCCCAAGCGTCTGAAGCTGGCTCAGGCTTCCTAGCTCCTGTGGGATGTGTCCTGTTCAAGCAACACAGCAACAAGAAGACATGATATTTTCACGTCCTCGAGATTGCAGTTCTACATCACCAAAAGGAAGGGTGAATAGGTGATGTTCTGAAATTAGAGTGTTTCACCCATGGGTGATAAAGGGTTCAAGGAACCTGGGGGGGGGTCATTACCGCTCCCGCACTAACTTCGGGTCCACTTGTTCGCTACAGGTTCCATCCCACCGGAGCTGGGAGTCCTCGCCACCCTGACACACGTCGAACATATGGGAAACCAGCTGTAAGCGGTGACTAACGACCGGCACACGTTGTGCTTTCCCACAAAATTTCAACATCAATCACAACGACGAAGTTGTATCTTCAACAATAGTTCGCACCCACGCGTCCGGACAATAATTGTTTTCACCTTGAAACCACTCACCACTGAGCTTGTTCCAAGAGAGACGGAGCTGTTGCAGATTGCCAAGCTGTCCTAGCGTCGCTGGAATCTCGTCTGCAAGTTACAACAGCGGGTATGGTGGTGCAGTCTAGATCATATGTCTTGAGACTTCCCGAAAGTGTACCTCGCATCCCTACTCACCCCCGGCGTCGGCGGAACAAATATTCCGCATCTAGCCGTGGTCCCGGTTTAGCGGTCCCTAGCGTCACCCAATGTTATGACCGGCATTGCGGGCATCGCCGCTGAACCAGATTGGCAGTTATATACGGAGTAGTTTGACTATTAATACCGAGGTGCAGCCGTGCCACGAGATTTTGGAACCGCTATCCAAGGCATCCTGCCGAACAGGAAACCGCTAAACCGGGACCACGACGGTATGCCTGAAGCTTCCTCACACCATTTTCTCAATATTCGTGTTGCTGTTGTGCTGCTTTGTGCCGGGCCGATACCCAAGGGGCTGGCAGTACAAAACAAATCCGTTGGTACAAATGTCGACTTGCTGCTCGCAGCGCCCATCCCCAACGCGTGGGGAGCCCTTCAAGGACTCGCGCATCGTGCCCTGGGTAGCAACCAACTCGCAGGTGGGAGGAGGTGGACTGAAATCTTTCCATCCCAGCGCCACAACATGACCGACTCACCAACCCGAAGGTGACGGAAGGTATTTCGCAAGGCGTTGGCGCAACATTTTCCTACCAACGCGTAGATGGGACGCACCTTCAAGAAGCCGCAGCCCTTGACGAATGGCCGGCTGCTAATGAACCATTCTACATCAAATTGAACCCACCCACAGGACCTACACCACTCGAGTTTGGAACCCAGGCGATCTGTAACGAACTTTACCTTCGTGCCAACCAGCTGAGCGTCGAGTTCCGATTTGCCGGCATCCGCGAATGGCTTTGTCTAGCGCATGTGTGTATGACTTACCAACTAATGAGGGACACGTAATCGATCACCCATGCGACAAAAATAATCGATGAATCGAAGCTGCCGACATCTAATATTATGCCCCAGCGCACTGCTGACGAACAGCACACAACATTCGCGACCTTCTGGGACACATGGCTGCGAGCTGAAACATTGGATGAATGTCGCCGAACAAGCCTACTGGACCATACGGATCGAGTACGTAGTCGAGGACGCTCCAGATACCTACAAACAAAGCAAAGACGACTGCAGAATAGGTGATACCGAACGTCCTGCGCATACAAGAGGCTCGACTTATGGCGTGTTGTTCAGCGCGGTGCATGCTTCACGAAATCTCCTCTTCGGCGAACCAGGAAACATCTGACTTGTTCCAAAAGTCCAACTTCAGATGCTGCTTTGCGGTTCGATTTTAGAACGCTTCAACCACACCGTGACCGTGTGTAACCGCGGAATTCAGCATATCCTATGTATTTGTAGCCTATTTAAGCAGGTAAAAAGGTCGAGGTGTAGGTCTACCCGAAACGAAAGGTGCTTGAAGCGGTCGAAAATCGGACCGCCCGCAGCATCCACAACCCTGCTCGCAGCTCACCGAACTCCACGAAAAAGGGCTCGATTCGAAAGTTGCGGACCGCAATCTGTAGCTTGTATCACAACGGCCAACATTGGAGACGCTTTGGCACGGTGGTACATGGAAAGCATTTGGAAAGCCTGACTAGGCACGTGTTTCCTGGTGCGCCTACGAAGAGCTCTGAAAAACTCCACTGCCCCCTTCAGAACTTTTTTTTTAGCCTTTCCTCTTTTCCTTCCGGAATCGTCGCTTTCTCTTTGATTGGTTGGGTCATTGAGATGCCACCGCCCGAGAATCGGGAACGCAGCTTACCCGGGCGGGTGTGGGTACATGTATGAGCACATCTCGCCGAAACTTCGACAGAGCGACTGTGGGAGTTAAGGAGCAAGGGGACCAGGAACACCTGCCGCAACACGCCAGTCGTACAGCACGCCGCGTACACCTTCGGTGCTGACGTGTCGGGTGTTCTTGGGCAATAATTGATGCTCGGTGGGCTTTCTAACCGCTTCCATAAGGCACACATCACATGTTTTGTATCCTTCGCGATAAAAGATCAAGACGACCCGTGCTTCTTGGCCAGCTTTCATCATTCAACATTTGTGAAGCTTAAGAGAGAGCAGCGTGAGCAAGCAAAGCTGCAGCAACCCCGTACAGCCTCATAGCCACACAACACACCGCATAAACGGTGCTGTGATGCTCGACGAGCTGCCTTTTCCCGCCGTAAAGGCACAAATGATATGTCCTGGTTCTTTCGCGGTACAGGTCATGCCACAAATGGCAGTTTCCCTTTGTCAACAAGTCAACTTTCGCGAGATGAGCGGTTACGAGAGGGAGAGACAGCCCCACACACCCAGCATGAGCAGCAGGATCAGCTGCACTAGCACGGCACAGCCGTACGACGCACCGCACACTCCTTCTCGGCGCTTCCCCGTCATTTCTTTACAACACCGATCTATTGGGGGAGTCTTGTGAAACTATCGTCAAGGTTGTCCCCAGATTTGAAGAGAATACTGGGACTGATATTGTACCGCCCGCGCTAAGTTAGACACGCCGGACAAATGTTGCGGATTCCCATAAATTTTAACATGAACCAAAACCGCGATACTGTTTCTTCAATATTCTTCTCATGCACGACCAGTATTGGCTACCTGTAAGCCGGTTGGAGTAGAGAGACAGCTCCCGTAGGTTGCTGAGAGTTCCGAGCGCCTCGGGGATAGGCCCTGCATACGGGTCAAAGCAGGGGAAACACAGAATAGAGAATCGAAGAAAGTCCAAAAACAGCTTGTCCCGCCCAGCTTCTGAAACATGCGTGGTTTCGGAGAAGATTCAACCTCTCGGCGAGTGAGTGGTGTTTTTCTGACAACATTACCGGTTGCACAGGCCCCATCCCCGAGCTCCTGGGAGCACTCAGCGAACCGAACGGGCTCTGACCGAACGAGAACAAGCCCACCAGCAAGGGAGGATGAGGTTTACACATCTCCTTTCTAGAATATGAGTCACATCTGTTCAAGAGGGGGACTCACCTTCTAGAAGCCGTGACCTTGGTGCGGCATTGAACTGTCCACTCTACATCATTTCGACTTTATCACAGGGTCTATACCGCCGGATCTTGCGAAGGTGGGGCTCTTGCGGCACCTATATCTGTTTCACAGCTAAATGAGCGGTGAGTTTCGATTCACCGGCTTCAACGAATGACTCTTTGTAGGACAACTGTCTTCGTTCTGGGAGACGTGATGGGGCTAGCAGGTGTTCTACCGCAACATTCGTGGCACTGTTAACACATTCTCACCAGAGAGCTGGTTAAAGTAGAGCCAAAGGGTCTGCAGCTGGCTCAGTCCTCCTAGCTCCTGTGGGATGTATCCTGCTGAAGCAACACACCAACAAGACACGATGTGTTCATGTCATCGAGATTGCAGGGTTTTACATCACATACTCACCCACAAGGAAGGGCGAGTAGGTGATGTTCTGAAATTTAAGTGGCTCACCCATGACTAAGTGTTCTAGGACCCGGGGGATTTCATTACCGCTCCCGCACTAACTTCGGATGCACTTGTTCGCTACAGGTTCCATCCCGCCAGAGCTAGGAAGTTTCGCAGCCCTGACACACCTCGAGCTTGGGGAAAACAGCCAAACTATGAGTCACGACGGACACATGTTGCACTTTTCCAGAACGACGATACGATGGATTCAACACGCCTCTCATCCACGCGTCCGGACGTTAAATTGTTTTCAGCTTTAAACCACTCACCGCTGAGCTTGTTCCAAGAGAGATCCAGCTGTTGCAGGTTGCCGAGCTGTCCTAGCGTCGCGGGAATCTCGTCTGCATGGTAGTAGAAGAACGGGTGAGGTGAAATGGTGCAGTATAGATCACTGTCCTGAGACTCCCCGAAAGCGTGCCTCGCCTGCGCATGTTCTACAACACCGACTCACCCACTGCGTCGGTGGAACACATATTCTGCATAATCCTGAGGCTTCCTCAACCCGTTTCTCAAGTTACGTGTTGCTGTAGTCCTGCTTTGTGCAGGGACGATACCCAAGGAGCTTGGAGCTCTTACAGAGCTGAAGGAGTCTTTTCCGAGCTATAATCAGCTTCTAGACACAAGCCGAGGTCATACTATTTTCAGTCTTACCATCTCTAAGCCTGCCGCTTCCACATTACCTCCTCACCCACGTCCATCAAGCTTCTAGAATCTTGATGTTCTTGAAGCCAGGGGACCCAAATCTCTAGTCCGCGCAATTTTTTTCACTCGCTTGCTTGCGTGAGTGGTACAAAACAAATCCGTTGGTACAAATGTCGACTAGCTGCTCGCAGGACCCATTCCCAACGCGTGGGGAGCCCTTCAAGGACTCGCGCATCTTGCCCTGGGTAGCAACCAACTCGCAGGTGAGAGGAGGTGTACTGAAATCTTTCCATCCCAACTTCCACAACATGACCGACTCACTATCCCGAAGGTGACGGTGGGTATTTCGCAAGGCGTTGGCGCAACATTTTCCTACCAACGCGTGGATGGGACGCACGTTCAAGAAGCCGCAGCCTTGAATTGTCGGCAGGTAAAGGACCACCCTACATCATATTGAACCCACCACAGGACCTACCCCACTCGAGTTTGGAACCTGCGCGATCTGCAACGAACTTCACCTTCATGCCAACCAGCCGAGCGTCGACTTTCGATCTGCCGGCATCAGTGAATGGCTTCGTCTAGCGCATGTATGCATGACCTACCAACTAATCGAAGCTGCCGACGTCCAAACGATTTTGTCCCAGTGCACTGCTGACAAACAGGACACTCGCGACCTTCTGGGACACATGGCTGCGTGCTTCAACGTTGTATGAATGTCACCGAACAAGCCTACCGGACCATCACGGACCGAGTACGTAGTCGAGGACGCTCCAGAGAACGGCAAACGAAGCAAAAAACGACTGCAATAAAATCGATACCGAACGTCTTGCGCATACAAGAGGCACATGGCGAACGCTTCACAAAATCTCCTCTTCGGCGAGCCAGGAAACGTCTGACTTGTTGGGTTTTCCAAAGTCTAGCATCGCGCAAACGCATCCGCACACCGTCTCGAGTGTACAATTGTAGCTTGTAGGATTGGTAGCCTTTGCACTATTCTACGGATTTGCGGTCCGCAAATTAAGGAAGGAGCCTACGTCCAGTTTAGTTTAGTGAGCTATGAGCAGCGGGCTATTGATGCTGCTATGCGGTCCGATTTTCGAACCTTCAACCACAGTGACCGCGCGAACCACCGCCGATGTGAGTGTGGGTGATTTGCGGAATTCACGACGGTCACGTGATGTGGATCCCCACAAAATTTCGACGTGAATCTAAACCACGATACTGCTTCTCCAACATGTGTCTCACGCAGGCGTCGGCAGGACACACTCTTAGAAGCCAGAGAAAGCACTTTCAAAGTTGCACACGTCCGCCCACTATTAAGTCACCTGTAAGCTGGTTGGAGCTGAGCAGCAGCTCCCGCAGGTTGCTATGAGCTCCTAGCACGTCCGGGATAGGCCCTGTACACGAATTACAGCCGGGGAAACAGAGCACGGAGAAATGGTAGAAATCCAATTAATCGAAAACATAAACATCCCGTCCAAGCTTCTAAAACATGCATGGTCTTGTAGAGGTTTGCGTCGGTGAGTGGTGAATTCTGAGGCACTGGCAACCCACAATGAGCCGAGCGAGCTTTGGCTAACGAGAACAAGCTCCCCACGGAGAGGACGGGACTTGAAGGTTTGATTTCCAGTGTGGGCGGGGTCAAGACCTCTACAAGCCGCAATTTTGATGAAGTGTCGGCATTGAATCGTCCGCTCTACATCATGTCGAACCCACTACAGGGCCTGTACCGCCGGAGCTTGGGAAGCTGGGGCTCTTGCGACACCTATGGAAACACGCAGAACCCGCTTGCAAGTTCAGCGGGCCAGCTGCCTCTCGCTCGCACTCTACGTGCTCTTCCGCTACCTTTACCTTCACTGAAAGTGTTCGTCCCGTGGATCCTTCGGCCTTTTGATTATCGGGCGACAGGTATGCATAGTTGTTCGGTCTTCTTGAAGCAAGCCCACAACAACACACATCATACACGCATACCCAGCCCCAACTGAAATCCATTGTTATGACAAGCGCAGCAGCACATACAACATGAATGTTGCACCGCTGTTTGTTGGCACACGCGCAGCGGAAGTAGAGTGCGTGCTGAACGTGTAACGGGCGACGATGGAAGTGTGGGTGGGTCCAAAACGCGCAGTCGTGAATATCCTTCGACCTTTCGCTACGCCACCACCACGACACGATGGGACGTTTTCAGAATACCTCGGAAAAAATTCGAAGAACAAAAAAAAAATAACTCTGTAGGGAGACTCGCCTAGAGACACGAGGGTCGACGGTACGTTTCAGATTTCGGAACACCCACGCTCCTGCCCCCAGCAAAATGTGTATCTTTCTGGAGGAGAATTGTTGGACATGTTGCTGTGCATGGACCGTATGGTTTCTTCAAAATCCAGCTTCGTAACTTGCGTCGTGGATTTGATAGATAGATGCCTCATGTCTGAACTGTGGCAAAAAAATCGGGAACCGAAACTCAATCCTCTTGCAAACGTCCCCGCGCCAACTGCGGATGCCCTTTTTCGCTAAAGGTTCCATCCCGCCGGAACTCGGAAACCTCGCCGCCCTGGCATGCCTCGACCTTAGGGAAAACCAGCTGTAAAGCGGTATGAGTCACGACGGACACATCTTGTGCTTTCTCACAAAATTTTGAACGTGAATCACAACCACGATACGTGTATCTTCCGACATGCTTGTCACCCACGCGTTGGCAGGACAAATTCATATATTTCACCTTGAAACCACTCACCACTCAGCTTGTTCCAAGAGAGGTTGAGCTCTTCCAGGTTGCCGAGCTGTCCGAGGGTCGCTGGAATCTCGCCTGCATCATGCGTCGTAGTAGAAGAAATCGTGGGTATGGTGTCAAGGAGTAGATCGGATCATGTATCCTGAGCCTTCCAAAAGCGTGCCTCGCCTGCACATGCATTACAACACTGACTCACCCAGTGCATCGGCGGAACACAATCCCGACGTTTTCTCACACCATTTTCTCATTTTTTCGTATTAGGAGTGTTATCCGTGCTACAATCAGCTCATCATATGTAAAAATGCGGGGCCTAATTTTTTTGTGTTTATTTCTAAAGCCTGCCCCTCCGACACCACCTACACACTCACGCCTCTATCAAGCTTCTAGAAGCACCGTTCCATTCCAGGCGTGGTGAGGTTCTAGAAGCCAGGGGATCCTACTTTCTAGTCGGCACTAAATTGTCACTTGCGTGCACGCGCGAGTAGTACAAGACAACTCCTCTGATAAACGTTTCGGCTACTGTAGCTACTCGCAGGATCCACCCCCTCGAGTCAGGAGCCCTTGCCGGACTCGCGCATCTTGCCCTGGCCAGCAGCCAACTCACAGGGTGAGCTGAGTGGACTGAAATGATTCCATGGAAACTTCCAAAACATTAACCAACGCGAACGTGAGTACGTGTTTCGCAAAAGCGTTGGCGCAACACTTTCCAACCAACGCGTAGATGGTATACACCTTCAAGACGCCGCAAACTTGAAGAAATGCCGGCAGCTTATGGACCACTCTGCATCATATTGAATCCGCCAAAGGACCTACACCTCCGGAGCATGGGAACCCAGGCGATCTGCAACGAACTTTGCCTCTTTGCCACTCCGCTGAGCGCTGAGTTCCGATTTTCGTATGTGTGCATATGACCCACCGGCCAACGCATTGAAGGGGACACGTATTCGATAAACCCATGCAACAATATTTCTTCTGAAATCGAAGCTGCAGACGTCTAGAAATTATGCCCCAGCGTACTGACGACGTAAACCAAACAACATTCGAGGCCTTGTCGGACACACTCCTGCGATATGCAACAGTGAGGGACGCAGCGAACAAGCCTAACGGGCCGAAGCGGGACGGGTTCGTAGTCGAGAATGCTCCAGAGTACGACAAACGAGGCTAAAACGACTGAAAAAATAAGCGATACCGAACGTCCTGCGCATACGAGAGGAGCCAACAAGTCAACGAGTATTTCGGGGTGTGCAGGGGGACACGTGTTCAAGGACTTCTCTTTGGCGAACCAGGACACATCTAACCAGGAAGCGTCTGACTTGTTTGGTTTTCCAAAGTCTACCTTCAGCGCGAACCTGCCATCGTCCAGAAGTGAATGCTCACGTCGCGAGTGTAAAATGTTCGTAGCTTGGATTGGCAGCCCTTGCGATAAACTACAGATTTGCGGTCCGCAACTTTCCCAAGGAGCCTACGTTCTTTGAGTTCGGTGAGCGATGAGCAGCAGGCTTTTGGGTGCTGCTGCGAGGTCCGATTTTCGAAAGCTTCAACGACGCAGTGACGCAAATCACCACCTATGTGAGTGCGTGTGACCTCGGAATTCAGCGCAGTTCTTCCCTAGCAAACCCTTTGCCGCCTATTTGAGCCCATAGGAAGGTCGCGGGTCATGTTTGGAAAATTCTACCAATAAGCAAAAGTGCTCGAAGCGTTCCAAAACCGGACCGCACCGCAGCATCCAACATCCTGCTCGGATAGCTCACCGAACTCCATGAAAAAGGGCTCGTTTCGAAGCTTACGGACCGCGATCTGTAGCTTATCACAAAGGCTACCATCGTACTACGAACATTGTACACTCGCGACGTGTTCGGCGCTTTGGCACGACGATATAGTCGTCCCGAACAGAGGATTTGGAAAACCAAACTAGGCAGGCGTTTCCTGGTGCGCAAACAAGAGATCTGCACAACTTCACCGCCTCCTAAACTAAGAACTTTGGTATTGGCCGTTCTTCTCTTCCTTCCGCATTGTCGCTTTCGCTGTTGATTGATTGGGTCATTGAAATGTCACAGCCGGAGAATTGGCAACGCCGCTTACCAGGGTGGGGGGGGTCGCATGTGTGCGCACATCTTGTTGAAACTTCGAGATTCAAAGAGCGGTTACGAGAGAGAGACAGTCTGTCACACACACCTAGCATAAAAAGGATCCGCTGCATTAGCACCACACATCCGGGTAAGATCCCACAGAACTTCCTCCTGAATCTCAACCACGATACTGTTTCTCCAATATACTTCTCACGCATGCGTTGGCGGCACTTTCAAATGTGCATACGTCCGCCCAAGATTAACCTACCTGTAAGCTGGTTGGAGTAGAGCGACAGCCAGAGCAGGTTGCTGAGAGCTCCCAGCTCCTCGGGGATCGGCCCTGCACACGAATTGCAGCCGGTGACAGAGTGCGGAGATATGAATACTTTCGGAAGCATCCCGAGCTTCGACAACATGTATCGTCTTGTAGAAGATTGAAGCTTGCCTTGAGAGTGGTGTAATTCTGACAAACTTGGTCCACCTGTTGGGCAAGCCCAATCCCTGAGGCACTTTGAGCACCCAGCGAGCCGAAGAAGCTTTGGCTGAAACGAGCAAGTTTGATATATTCCAAAACCGCGTCGGCGCGGCACGCCTTCTAGAAGCCGCAAATCTTGGTGAAATACCGGCGTGGAAGTGTCCATGCTAAATCATTTCGAACCTACCACAACGCCTTTCCCACTGGACCTCAGGAACCTGGGCGCTCTGGGACAGCTCTACCTGTTTCACAGTTAGCTGAGCGGTTAGCTTCGATTCACTGACCTCGATGAATGTCTTTGGTGGGAGAACTGTGTCCGTTCTGGAAGGCGCTATGACTTTCTCACCCTCGATCGTGCTAGAACAACAAACAGCGCACTTTTGACACGTCTCACCAGTGAGCTGGTTGCGGTAGAGCTCAAGCGCCTGCAGTTGGCTCAGGTCTCCCAGCTCCTTTGGGATGTGTCCTGATCAAGCATCACAGCAATACGACACGATAACCTCACGTCACGGAGTCTGCAACACATACTTGACAAATAAATTGAGTGGCTCATGCGTGTGGTGATTTGAATGCTCTAGAACCCGGGGGATTTTCAGTATCGTTCCCGCGCCAGGTTGGATGTGCTTGTTCGCTACAAGTTCCGTCCCGCCGGAGTTGGAAAGCCTTGCCGCCCTGACACATGCACCTCGACTTTCGGGGAGACCAGCCAAGCGGTTAGTCACGACGGACACATCATGTGATTTCCACAAGAAATTCAACATCAAGCTCAAGCACAGCCACGATACTTTACGGTCGACATGATTCCAACCCACGCGTTGGTATTAGGACAGATTGTTCTCACCCTGAAACCACCTACCACTAAGCTTGTTCGAAGAGAGATGGAGCTGCTGCAGGTTGCCGAGTTTCCCTAGCGTCGCTGGAATCTCGCCTGCGTGGTAGAAGAACAGTTGTGTGAAATGGTGCAGAATAGATCGTATGTCCCGAACCTTGCAGAACACGTACCTCGCCTGCACACGTTCTAGAACACCGACTCGCCCACGGCGTCGGCGAAAGACATATTCCTCAAGCCTCACATCGTTTGCTCATTTTTCGTGTTGCTGCTTGCAGTTATATGATGGACCGATGCGCAAGAAGCTGGGGGGCCTCACAGAGCTGAAAGAGTTTTTTCGTGCCGCAATCAGCCTACAGGTAAAGAGGCGGGGTGGTACACTTCTATTTTTACCTCCAAAGCCTGCCGCTTCCTGACCACCTACTCACCCAGGCCTATCGAGCTTCCGGAAACGCCTTTCGACACAAGCGTGGCGATTTTCTAGAAGGCAGGGGACCGTACTTTCTACTCCGCGATAAATTGTCTCTCGCTTGTACGCGTGAGTAGTTCAAAACAAATGGGAGCCTTCGACGGGGTGTGACAACCGTGTATGTGATAGCTATGGGGGCAATCCAGCTTGCTGCAAAAAGTGCTGCTGCCGAAATCTCAAGGTGGGATGGTAGTCAGGGTGTGTGTGGTCACGAGGGGGGTTGGGATGCATTTGCATGTTGCGAGCAGAAGGTGGTATTGGCGCACGTCGGCTGTTCGCACCGCAGTGCACTTCTGGAGCGCGCTGCCACTGCTGCTCAGTAGGTGCGATGGCCACCACCTGGGTGTGCCAGCTGTACGTGGGAGAAGCAGCAAGAGGAGCCGGTCGTGCAGAAGAAAGCCACTCGGTTCGAAGAAAAAATACGTGATAGGTCGAGCCCACAACGCTGCTGTCGAAGCAACGGAGTTCTGGTCGCCACATGGCGTGGTTCCAGCCAACAGAGGAAGGTGTTGTGTGTGTGTTGCTTGTTGAGTCCCATCGACTGAGTACCACCTGGGTGGCAGAACAGCCCCCCCGCGGTTTGCGCGGCGTAAACTCGGTGTTGGTCGTTGGCAACCCGGGAGATAATTCGACCGAAAGGTTTGGGTTCAAATCTACGAGTATGTATAACCCAGTGAGGAGTTCGATTTCGTGTGTGGTTTCCTATGTCGTTTACGATCGAACGTGTGCAAAGTGCGGGCATGTACTACAAAACAATCCATACCGGGATCACTTTCGGTCGATGGATTTTTGCGAAACACGAAGCACTTCGTAAGAGCAACACGTTATTCTTTTGAGAACTAGGCCAAAGAGTACCTTCGAGGTTGTTGTCGCGAAGTTTGAGCTTCACCACTCGGCCCTGGTCGTTGACGTCGACTCCGTGCCATGTCTTGAGATCGGCATCTGTGTCCCAATTTTGGCGTTCTCTCCAATTCTCCCCGCCGGTAGCACGATACAGGACGACCAGTGCGTCACGGTCCGTCTGTGCCATTGTAGAGGGGCCTGTGGGGCGTCCAACGAAACACAGAGAGAGGTTGCGGGACAACCGAAACAACTCGTAGTGTTACTGCTGCTGCACAACATGTTTTTCGTCGGAGATCCACATCCTCATCAGATGGTAGAGACCTCACAAAATCCTAGGATAGGCGATACAAAAAACAGACGATATCACGGGTACAACTGCTGCACAGCAGTTGACGAAACGGCTCCCCTGGAACGTGTGTCCTGCCCACGTTTTCAAGCGTGTTGCGTCGGTCCAAGCCAACTCTCCCTGTTGGACGTGCGCATGGCACAAGACGATTGCTGCTGGAAAATGGCGGGCAGTGTCAACCCCCCTACCAAGAATTGCGTGAAAGTGAGATGCGTCAATGTCAATTCGTGATGTAAAAGTTGTGTGTCGTGCTCAGAAGAGACGTAACACACGAGAACAGAAGGAGAGTGAAAAGAAGAAAACTTTTCATATCGGCTAGCCTTGGCTGACCTACTCTCAACTCCGCGCGACCACCAGCTGAGGTCAATACTCCATTTACTGAAACACCCTTGTGTGACTTCGGGTGTGCCGCGTGATAACTTGGCGGGCCATTCGGATTTTCCATACTCTTCTGCTCAGCAGGAACGTACGAAATAAGATACCCCGCACACCTTGGATCCCGCCCGCCCGCCCCCTTTTTCGCAGGGTAAAATTTCCTTGACTATTTGCTGTTCTTCGGGATAAGGGCGCACTGTTTGAGGGTGTCGGCGCAGTACCTTAATACCACGCTCAGGGAGGGGCTCTTGTCTGGAGCGTCTTGAACAGGAGGAGTCACCCACCCATCTTAAGAACGGGTTCTCTGGCCATTTGTCTATTTTTTTGTGATGAAAAAATAAAGAGGCAGCCGAAAAAAGGAACCGTAACAAATGGGCTTACATAACGAAAAGTTTTATTGTTTAGTTATAGTTGCACAGGGTGTGAAATCTGTTCGAAAGGGCAACTTTTTTGCCCCGGGCAAACCTCCTTCCCTCCGAAATCTGGTCTTCGTCGACCGTTGGACGGTTTAAAGAACAAATGCATGCCACGCCTCGCAGGTCTACTTGCGAGAAAATACTAAATGCACCCATGGGGTACGCACGTAAGCCATGCACCCATAACTTGGCAGTCCAGCCTATTCAGACCTGCACCAACACAGTTTACCACCCAAGAGCGACCAAGCACTACTCGAAGGCCCACCAACCTAGCACCTACCCACGTTAGGACCAACCTAGCACCTATCCAGGCAATAGCATACCAACCTAGATTTATCCCATCAACGCCAACCTAGCACCTATCCAAGCAGTCACGACCCAGATTTTTCCCCGTCAACAGCAACCTCGCCCTAATGCAGGCATTAACAACCTGGATTTTTCCCATCAACGCCAATTTAGCACCTATCCAAGCAGTAACAACCTAGAGTTTTCCCCGTCAACACCAACCTCGCGCCAAGCCTGGCACACCAACCTAGAACTGAGCCAGCCAGCGCCAACCTAGCACCTATCGGGTGGGTTTGGGGTTAGGGTTAGCGTTAGCGTGAGGGTTTTAGCCTGTTTCGTACCCCTGCCAAAGCAGAGCACCTGTTTTTTAGGAGCACTAGAATTGCTTTGATTGCAAATAGTGCAGGTCAAGGGTAGGTCTTAACGAAGAAATCAGATCTCGAAATCACGTTTCGATACAAGAATAAAAGAGTCGGATCTACCCAAATCCGGACAGAAATGGCCTGTGTGTCTTAACGGGAGATCTGCCAACTGGAAACGAATAGACTACTAATTTTTCGGCCTGAAACATTCCGAGAACGACCCAGTCGCAGGCTATTTCAGCGGTCCCCAGCGATGCCGGTTCGCAAAACAAAATTTTCCTCTTTCATAAAATCTCCAAATTTCAAAAAATACATACTACTTGTACAGTACACACAGCTCTAGTCTACATCGACTAGTCACCGGTACCTACATACATACATCTGCATACACACCGGTATACCCTGTGTACAGCACAACCAACCTCCTCCGATGGCAAAGAAACGTGTATATGCTCAAGTAGAGCCTGTCGGGAAGCTGGTGGCATGGCCAGCCTTACCCTACCGTCGGATGGCCGGAGGGCGAGATGGCTGAGATGCTTACTTTGGCGGCCGAACAGAACTACACGAAGCTTGGCGGGCGGGCGTCTCTCGTTCATGTCTCCCCAAGACCACCAATTGAAAAGCAACAAGCCGAATCAGGGCAGTGGCGGTTGCCCTCCGATTGTTCGCGGACGCAAGGAAGGGTGCTGTCCCAGATCAGACGGACGGGCAGACAAGGGAGGCGACAGCAGGAGCCTTGGAGAAGTTTCGGAAGGCCGAAGCTCCGGCCGAAGCTCGGTGTGCTGCCTGGGAAAACGAAGCCTCAAGGCAAGGAGCTGGGGCATCGGACTTGCTTGATAAATTGCGGCTGAAGGACGAAGCAAGGACGATGTCATCTCTTCACTCCGAAGTGATGTTACTTGTTTCGCTTCAATAATGGTCGCCACCCACATCACAAGCGACGGTAGCGTTGTCGAACACACTCCCGGACGCCGCGAGCCCCTCTAGGTTACGCACGAACACGCTCCAAAAGCGACGGTGCTCTTACGGGACCACAGATACTACGCGCTCTGCGCTTGGCTGCAACCGCTTCAGGATCGTGTGGTTGAATCTCCCCTCCCGCCTGCCCCCCCCCCCCCGACTTCTGTGCCTTCCACACGCCTGCCTAGCCGTCGTTCTCACCATACCCCGCACCAGCAACATTATTATTCTCAGTGAAGAGATGACATCGTCCTTCGTCCTACAGCCGCAATTTATCAAGCAAGTCCGATGCCCCAGCTCCTTGCCTCGAGGCTTCGTTTTCCCAGGCAGCACACCGAGCTTCGGCCGCCCAAGGCTCCTCCTGCTGTCGCTTCCCGTGTCTGCCCGTCCGTCTGATCTGGGACAGCACCCTTCCTTGCGTCCGCGAACAAACGGAGGGCAACCGCCACTGCCCTGATTCGGCTTGTTGCCTTTCAATTGGTGGTCTTGGGGAGACATGAACGAGAGACGCCCGCCCGCCAAGCTTCGTGTAGTTCTGTTCGGCCGCCAAAGTAAGCATCTCAGCCATCTCGCCCTCCGGCCATCCGACGGTAGGGTAAGGCTGGCCATGCCACCAGCTTCCCGACATGCTCTACTTGAGCATATACACAGCAGTTTCTTGCCATCGGAGGAGGTTGGTTGTGCTGTACACAGGGTATACCGGTGGCATATGTATGTATGTAGGTACCGGTGACTAGTCGATGTAGACTAGAGCTCTGTGTACTGCTGTACAAGTAGTATGTATTTTTTGAAAATTGGAGATTTTATGAAAGAGGCAAAATTTGTTTTGCGAACCGGCATCGCCGGGGACCGCTGAAATAGCCTGCGACTGGGTCGTTCTCGGAATGTTTCAGGCCGAAAAATTAGTAGTCTATCTCTGCAGTCCACCGCGAACAACCCGAGAGGTCCGCCGCTTGCCAACTGCCAGATTGCTGTTGTGACGTACTGTTATGACGTGGCCACACCACATGGGGAGCTATCGCTCCCGCCAGGCACACACCAAACGCGTCAATGGCCTCTGTGCGGTACTGGCAAGATGTCTATATGCATGTGAGAGTTTGAATCGAGCCTCGTCCGACGGAAAGCCGTCAATTCGTCTGTGCGTTTGAAGTTCGACAACCCACCGGAGATTGCCCCACAGACCAACACATCCCACACACGTTTTTTTCGGCACCAGCCACGTGCAACAACGATGCGCAGTCACCCTCCCTTTGGGTTGGCTTTTTGTGCTCTCTCTTTCCTCTGTGCTCGGCGGTGGATGGAGTTCGTGTGGATGGGGGTAGGTGGGCACGCGCCGTGCATGCGAGTAGACCGTGGTCCCGCAACTATGGACGGTGTCACCCAAATCGGGATCCGATTAAATTATTTCACCTTTTTTCAAATCCCGATTTGGTTTTGGGTCGTCCTGTTTTAAGTCCTAAAGATTCGACGGGTTCCATAACATTTCAGCCAATCAACAACAGAGTTCTTTGGATCTTCCGGTCTTACAACTAAATCTGAATGTGATTTCGAGATCTGATTTCTTCGTTAAGACCTACTCTCAGGGGTTGGAGCCTCGGAACATTTTGCCCTTTTTTCGCCTTCAGGTGGTGTTTTCGGTCTGTCGAGGGCATGAGTGCATGGCTTATTTGCGTACCCATGGGTGCATATAACGTTTGCTGCCCTATCCGATCTGTTAGTGACTCTACATGTAACAGAGTGTAAACTGCTGGGAACCGCCTGTCTGTTCGGTTGTGGGGAAAAGTTGCAGCTGCAATCGAGGTGTCTACAGAAACCCTTTGGTTTGGCAGGGTCGAGGCACCGAGGCTTTTTTTGTCGTCAGAGTGTAAACTGCAAGTTCGCGCAAGATTCACAGAGAGTCCGAAGGCATTTTAGCTGTTTAGTACAGTGCACATCCCTTTCGACTGAGGTTATATCTCGAACGGGTAGTCTTTCTGTGAGGTTATGAGTACTTTCTAAAACGCATTTCCATCCGCGGGAGAATGAACAAGTCGCGGTACCAGATCATGACATGATTCTTCGAACTTTGCCGTCTGGGTCGCGAACGGCTCCAAATCACCTGCTCGATCTTCGCAGAAGGTTGACGCTGTATTTGGCGTCTTTGCAGGTTTCGGCTATTGTACAGGCTATCTGTTTCGGCACTTCGGCAAGCGAGGTCTGAACTTCGTCATCAAGCAAGATTTGCCAGATTCTCCCGCCACAGCATAAGTGAGATTTGGAACGGAATATATTACACCTGCCTACCTATGTACGTAACACAGCAGTAGTTACACATGTGACACATCACAGGACAAGAAAAAGCATGCGGCCGAACAAGTGCCCATGCCAGGCAATGAGTCGAACTTCACAAAGGTGACGACGTGCGTCCTGTGGCGCACACTCGTAACCTCTCCACACGACCTCGCCTGCCTGCGTTCCACGGCTGTTGTTGTTGTGCACACTGTGTGGATTTTCCCGCAAAATACAGGAACACTTACCCAGCAGTCGACGAACGTGGTGTACAGCTGAACCCTGTCTTCTTCTTCGTGGCACCCGCCGCTGTCTCTTATGGCTCTTTTTCTTTAACCGCTTCTGCCGACCAACGCGCACGGTCCTCAGCTCATGTCCTGGGTCATGTGCCCATGTATGTGCAACTCAATCACAGCTCGGCCTTCAGGGGGCCCATCTAATGAGACAGACGCACATGAGCCTCTACCTACATAGCCTCATCGGTCCCATGATCCGGCACCCCTTGATCCAAATCCAAATCCACTTCACCAGTCACATATCTACGACGAAGACGCCCACCGAGACAGAGCTCCACCTAGCTCACCCCTCGCACCTTCTTCCGTCGAACGGCCGAGGGCGTTCTTCGTGGTCACCACCAGCTCCTCCTCGTTGGCCGCGTCCACCTCGGCGATATCTGCACTGAGTCACATGGAAAGCGTTGCCGCCGGTTGGCCTACAGTGTACACAACAGCAGCAAGCAGTTGTCACAGAAGGACACAATCCACTGAAGACCGTCGGGTGGTACTAAGCAGAGTCTAGACTACAACTTGTACAAATGGTAGTCTAGACCTACCTGTAGCCTCGATTTACACCCTGAAAAAAAACAGATCTTCGCAAGATAGCGCCGACCGATCATGTTCATTCGTCCATGATATCGGCCTTGAATACCTTCTACATGCACTCTCTCTCTCTCTGGCCCTGGATACCTCTCTCACCTACGGCTGCTGTCCACCCTCATTTGCGAATAGCTCCTGAACTCGCATTTTCTGCAATTCCGTGCGACACAATACATTTCCTCATCGACCACGACTGGTGATCTCGTGTTATTCTTCGCCCATCCACCGGGCGCTGAATCGAAAGGTACCGAGATATGTTGTCTGTAGGCATTTGATGACGCTAAATTAGCGCGCGGTTTATAGCCCGCCGAGCAGGGTGGGCCTAAAATAGAGCGTGCAATCTTTGCCTGAAACCCCCCTCAGCGCACACTTGTAGAGAGGTGATACGAAAATTCGGGCCCGTGCCTCGCAGCGAAAACAATTTAGGGGCATTCTTTTTCGCCGGCGAGAAGGCATATCGTGACCCCTTTTCCCACCGATATTGACATACGCAGTTTATGCACCAATAGCTGAAGCAGTTCAACGCACAGCTCGTGGAAATGCCTCCTTTTGAAAGGTTATTTTCCGATTCCGTGCCCCCTCATCCCCAACACCATAGAACCTATTACCGAGCCAAAGTTTTTGGGCTTGCGGCGAGAAAACACAAGCAGCACGCTGCCGTTAGTCTCGCCCCTCGTCTAGCGACATCAACGAAAACTCAACCCAGCAAGTCCACATGATATAAAGACGAGCTAGATTTAACAGCAGTCATCGCCACATTCTCGCAACGGACAGCAGTGACGCGCAGGAAAGGCACCGTGGTACGAAACACACAAGTCTGCAAAGATCTCTTGAGCCTACTGCAAGCCCCCAACACAACACGGCTGGCAACAACTGACAGTGATGAGTACTTCGAATCAAACCTCCTCCGAATCGACACCCAGAAAACCACAGAAGCAAACTCCAAGCGCCGAAAATATTGGTGAGCCGGACACACGTACTTCTTATGTACCACCACTGTTAGCGAGTCAGACCCAGAACAGTAAGTCAGGCAGGCCAACAGTGAGGCGACGCGGCACCTGCCACACATACCAAGGCCGCCTTCCATCTGTTGCGGATGGATCGAGCACCATATTACAGTAAGCACCAGCCAACGAACGTGCACACCAACACCCATGAAACACTTGCACGTGACAGCACTAGACGCACAGAACAACACACGCACATGAGGGCAGCACACAACCAACACTCGCGCAAGCTAACACCTTCCAGAAAACAGTAACACAAACCAACTAGATACACCACGATCACACCATGGCCGGCGGACTAACTAACGCCTCGCGCTAGAGAGACCGCCCGCGCTGGGGCTCGGTTTACGCATGCTAGATTCAGATATTTACACCCTACCGGCATGCAGACCTATCAATCACGGGCACGCATCCAGCCGCTGTAATACCCCACAAAATAAAATTCCAATAGCCAGCCTGAAGCCAGGGACGTCACAGACTTCCCATCAGCGTTTCACTCGCAACCTCTACCACTTGAAATCTAGCACGCTTGGTATGATGATGAGACAGCAGGCATCGGATCATCTACCTAGAACGGGCTTTGTCCGGCAAATCGAAAGCCAGACACATCAGCACAGCCCCTACCCCCTCCCACGCCAAAAATTATCTCTGATTCATCAGTATGGCGTAAAAAGCTTCTACGCGGTGTGATGATCAGACAAAGGCGAGAGGTTGTTCAGGGCGGCTCTTTCCGCCTGCATCTCAAGACGGTTGCTTCTCGACATCCGCCGACCGCGCTTCCAGCTACCGCAACCCGCCCCTACGCCGCCGCCACCACCGCTGCCGCCACTGCCCCCGCTACTGACACCTTTGGTGCTAGTACCATTACTACTGTCGAATGACCTCGCGTGCGCGGCCCAAAGGGGCGGCAGACGCACCGCGGAAAACGTGAACGCTACCAGCAGGGCGAGCAGCCGACCTATCCCCGGGACAACCTCGCGGCTGGCTGGAAACCCGTTGAGGCCCACCCATAGCGGGGCTGACACGAGGGATGTCTGGGGAGCGGGGGGCAAGGGCGGGTGTGTGGAGAAGGGGGGTCAAGGTAGAGTTGAAGACGCCTAGGTCATCGGAGGGAGAGCGGCCGGCGATGCAACCTTAACACGAGCCTGTCGAACAAGGCATACTTTTCGCACAGCCATACATAGAGTGGTGGTTGCTGCGTAAGGCCACACAAGGCCAAGGGATTCGGCTGGCCTTTTTGTATACCGGGCACCCGACACACTTCTCAGGCAGACTACGAGCCAACTTGAATACTATCCCATCTGTGTCAAGCGAAATTCGCCGGCCTGACACAGGGCGAACCGGCCGCTCTGCTTCTGCTGTACTCTTGTTGAAGAAAGGAAGTCATTCACGTGCCCCAAGGAGGTCAACTCACCGCCATCGCCGAGAGAAACACAAGGTGCGCCATCGTCTCCGTCAGCGCCAGCCGCCGCGGCCCGCACGGACCCCCCACGCTCGCACCCCCCTGCTTCCCCGTCCCCTCCACCACACCGCTGCCACCGATGATTCCGCCGCCCGCCGTCGTAGCACTTGCTTGCCCTCCCGGCGGTTGCGGCACGGCCCCCGTACCGGTAGCCCGCCGGGGCCCCGGGCACGCCCCCACCGGAGGCGCCATCATTGGCGTTGCCGTGCAACCGCCGTCGCCGTTGCTGGCGGCGTCGAGCTCGAGCGCGTTGTCCCGTGGGGTCGAAGCTGCGAAGACTTTGTGCGCCTTGAGGGATACGAGCACGAGGTAGGAGCCTTTTTTGAAAAGGAGCGAGTACACGCGGAACGCGAGAGGGGGTGGGGGGTTAGGTACTCTGTCTACCAAATAACTGACGTGCTCGGCGCGTTATTATGCCGCAGGAGCCGGGCCGTGTCATGTAGGGTAACACCGGTACACAACCAAACATATCTAAGCAAAGATGTACCGGATCATCGCCTGAGAGAACATGCTATCCGGAAAACTTGGAAGGGGGCAGGGAAAAGGTTTTTGTGGTCACTCAGCTCTTGCCTACACATGGACGTTAAACTACTGCCGTCCGGACCAAGGCAGCACAGAGCAACGCCGCCGTTCTGCGGAGTCACAAACATTATGTACACTTGTTTTCCATTCTTAAGCGGGGGGTAGACAAGGCGCCGCTTTCAACCTTCGGGTTACCAAAGTATCAAAGGTTAAGAAGAACGTGACAAGGTTAACGTTTCCCTCAGAAACGGTACTTTAGTGCACAAAATTGTGCTGAACGGGAGTATGGTTGGAGCACAGCAGTATGCCCCTCACGAGCACGTGCCGAAAACGAACCGCAGTCACCTTCGGCGATGATCACCAAGGCCGTCGCCCGGCCCCAAAAAAACGCCCATGCTGCTTCGGGGCGCGCTGCGCCGAGTCTCGTGGTGGGGACGGCTTTGAACGCGAGTACCGCAGCGGAGAGGGCCAGCACTAGCCCCATTGTCAGATTGAAGACACTGCCGAAAAGGCTCCTCGCATTAAGAGCGTTCACGGGAATCTGGTCGGGGGGAGTCGACGGTGAAAAATGAGAAACGTGCCAATACCGGGGGTATGTCGACACGCCGTGTTTGTTTCGTATCAATCGACCAGCTGAGGTGCTGCACGACGAATTTATGGGTTTGGAATGGCATGTGCAACAGTGTTCACACGACTCTACATCCGCAACTGCTGGACGCTGCGCCGGACCGCGATCACTTCGTGCATGACGTGTGAGCGGCAAGAGATGTGAGCCTGGGTACCTTCTATTCGGAACTTACCGTATATCGTGCGAGCGCGATGCACATGTTGCGTAGAGCCCTCCGCGTGGCTGTCCAGCGCTTAGCCGCCTAGTCTCCGGGAAAACATGCGTTAGACACCGAAGCAGCAGGACCACCACTATCAGCACCAGCGTAGAACAGGATACAACACTTCACGACTTGGGTGGGGGGTATGCCTTGCCGCAGCACGTTCGTCTGTGTAATTTCATAGCACAAGTGTCATCGAAAGCTCCCAAAACGAAGTTGACACAGTGCTTCAAGCAATGGAGAAACACATGGTCTATATACCTAACACATCTCTCCATTCTATTATTTGGTCATTGCGAGCAAGGCCCTCGAGGCTCTCAGCCTGGCAACAACATCCAGTGGCGAAGACGTTTTCGAGAAGTAAGGGCCAACCAATCAAGGCGCAGACCATCCCAGGTCACCAACCCTGCTCCAGTCGGCGGGAACCAGACGTGCTGTTGCCTCCGGTACTCTTGAGGTAAATATTTGTAGGAGCACCGTTACGAGGGCACAAGCAAGGGTTCGTGCACGACCGGTACAACGAACAACACCAAGAATCACCCTTGAACGAGGGCCATCATCATCTTAAAAGGCCTCAGCACCGAGTTATGCCCATACACCACCGGCACACGAATAACGAATAACGTCAAGAGTCGTCGGGCTACCATCGTCTTAAATAGGCCTCAAAAACGAGAAGTATCTTCAAAGGCCACAAGAAACATTCAGGTACACGCGAACGCCAACAAAAGAGAGGGATGGCTCTCGAGACTCACCCGCCAAAGCACGGCCACCACAATAAGGGGCGCAAGCCCGTGCACGGCCTGGCCCACTACCCCGTTCCATCTCGGTCTTCTCCCTCTGCCTCTCCTTGTCCTACCAGCGCCCTTGTTCGCCTTTTCGCCGCCGCCGCCGCCGCCCAGGCGGGGCGAACTCGCTTTCCTTCCGTCTAGGCGATGGAACGCTTCCAGCCAGAGGTCTACGTACGGGAGGAACGGGTAGGTCCACCAATTCCTGTTCCGTATGGTGAAATAGCACAGTATTTGGTTGAGTAGCGGGGGCATATTCATCCGGGCAACGGGGAGGGGGGGGGGTCAGCCCACAAGACGCGCTGCACAATCTATATCGTCGTGTTTCGCCTTCCGACTCGCTTTGTTCAAGAAGAAAAAGAAGGGTGCAACACGAGCGCGAAAAGAAAACAGCACGGTGCGTCACAGCACCAGCGACGCGATCCGATGTGAAACGCCCCCGGAAAAACGCCGGTTTAGCGTGATTCAACCCTCAGGCGCCTTTCCATAAAGGGGATGGGGCCGGTTAGGATCTCGTGATCGTTTGAACGACACGTGAACAGCTGCAGGAGGTTAGGTTCCACAAAGCCAGCAAGTTCACAGCCAAGAACAGTTAACGGTGCAATCGAACAATGTCCGCCACATCACCCGCAACACTACACAGAAATGGGCCGTTGGGCGGATTGGAAGCGCATCGTCACTGCGAGCACATCCCGTATGTGTCTATTCTTGTACTTGGAGCACAAACTGTAGCACAAGGGTGGAAGATCTTCGGGCGTAGGTTGGCGCCAAACTAGCGAGGACTACGGGCTCTTGCAACAAGGCTCAACGGTACATGATGTCCCGCCGAAGGATAGAGGGGACACGATTGAAGCTCCTCCCTAAACATCAAGCTCAAGAGGAACGATCCACACTACAAGAGTCAGCCGGAAAGAAGAGGCAATACTAGCAACATATCCTACCGCACTACACCCGACGCATCCCACGGAACTACACTCTCGTGTGAACACCTCCGCCGCTCCAATCCCCTCCCTCCCAGCTCGCCGGCTCTTCCCCTCCCACACACACTCCCCTCCTCTCACCAGGGCTTGGCTGTGCCGAAAGTGAAGTGCAAGATCTTGACCTTCTTGCGCCGCTTCCAGTCCGCCGGCGCCTCTGGCCCGGCCTCCTTCCCCTGCACCACCTGCAAGTCCCCATCCACGAACAGGAGAGGCCAGTCGCCGTTGTACCTCGTGGGCAGCCTCTTGCAGCCCCAGCCCTTAGGCCGAACCCACTCCGACCCCTCGCCCGCTAGCCTCCGCCGCCGGGTTCCCCCTTCCCCTTCCATCGCCCCCGCCCGCCTCTCTCCCCCAACCATGTCTTCGACCCCCCGTCCCTCCACAAGTAAGCCATCCAACTCTCGGCCCCCTCCTAACGCTCTTCTTCGGCCCCCGCCACCGCCGCCCCCGCCGTTGATTTCTTCCACACCAGAGCCGACCCCAGCGAGGCGTGACCCGAGGATGGGATAAGGCTCGAACGCCGGACAGGCCGCGAAGTATGGGTAGAAGGAGTTCAAGAACCCCTGGTCGCTGCAGCATTTTTATATTTAAATTGTTGTGGTTTCGAGGTCGCGAAGAAGGTTCACGTGGGATCGCACAAGACGTGTGTTTTGAGAGAGCGCGCGGGAGGAATGAGGGGGCGGGGGGGCAGGGGAGATCTTGTCAATGGCGCGACAAAAATTTTGGTAGCGCGACCGTTCATGCGACCTACCATGGTTAGGCCGTCGCTTAGAGGTAATTTGCGCAAAAGGCAAAGCCTCACTCTGCTTACAAGACCGACATCGGCCATCGCCAGCACAGCAAGTTGCGAGTATGGCAGGAGCCGAAACACGCGGTATCAACACCACCTAAGCAACAAATACATAGCGCCGGTTCTTCCAATACCGCGCGTCTTCGGTTTCCATGAGGTCCAGGCAAAGAATGCCCCGGAGAGTACGATTACCAAGCACTCCTGCGCCCGAAACGGTTGCACCACACACACAAGCTTCAAACTTGCGACCGCAGTCGTCGCTCGCCGGTTTTCCCCACGGAAACGCTTACCCTCCCGTGTACGAGTCTAGCTCCCCGATGAGATCGTGCATGTGGCCGTACAGCTCCTTGCTGGGAGTGATGACCACGACGCCCGAGTTGAGCAGCTCGGAGTGGCGCATCACGGCGCAGAACGGCTCGCACTCGAAGAGCTCGTCGATGTTCTCGAGCACGAGCGTGTCCGCGTCAAGGAAGACTATGCGGTCGTACTCCTCCTCCATCTCCACGATGAGGAGCTTGGTGTACACAAACACCAAGCGGGACTGGAAGTTCTGGTTGGGGTTCGTCTCGACCGCCACGGGTCGAACGCTGTTGTTCATTCAAGACGTGGACGGGTGTACAGACGTCGTTTCCGGACAGATGTTGCATGAGAGAGACTAAATCTGGTGAGAACTGTCTTTTTTTGGGGGGGGAGGGGGGTAGAAAACGTACACCTGAAGAGGATGGGGTGTTTCCGCTGCCTCAGGTCGAAACAGAGTGTTTTCCAGACACAAGCTGTTGGCCGCAGAATACAAGAAGGACTCAGACGATCTATCGTCACGTACTACACGGACGATGCGGGAGGTGATGCGCCCACAGCGATGGAAAAGGGTTATCATCGTGCAAGGTCAGTCCAACGGTGGGAAACAATGAATTTTGTCTCCCTCAATGTGGTATAGAGCTGAACGCTTTCATTTGTCAGCTGGTTAGCGCGGTCGATGAATGCCAAAAAGAAGCACACAATACACACACGTTGCCAGGATGCTCGTGAATACATGCGTCCCTCCTCCAAGCTCCTGCCTGCACGGCTGTTGTTACTAATAAACAGAAAGTCGGTATGAAGTGACAACTACAACAGCAGTCAGTCAGAAAGTGGAGAAATGGGCCATAATATCCACCATGGACAATCATAAATTTCAGAGCAGGCGCAAGGGCGATGCGCACGTTGTTAGAAAGTAACTGCATCCACGTTTGTTCATCGTATTTTCAAACTCCATCGTCTGCGGTGTACATAGCGAGCGAGAGAGAGAGACGGGCGGGAGAAAGAACAATTTTCTAGTTTCATTTTTTGCCGTCGCACGGAGACACTCTCGTACAAACGCAACGCACACCAGCTCCTCCGTCGAACCCCACACTCACATCCAGCCGTCCTCGGCGAGTTTTTGCCTTGTCTCTTGCCGCACGTCCGGGGTCACCAGGACAACGGTATCCGCGCTCGTCCCGCTCTCCCGCAGGCTCTGGCCGAGGGCGCGCGTCCCCTCGATGAAATCGCTGTACAGCAGGGTGGCGTAGGCTCTTCTCGACGGCTGGGCAGCAGCAACGGAGGCAGGTGAAGCCTTGCTGTGCTGGTGCTGCGTCGATGCACCTCCGTCGCTGCCTTTCTTCGCGGCATCCAAGGCGCGTGCGGCGAAATGCCTCGTATCCGCCGTTGTTCCCGAAGCCGCCGCTGCCACCGCATCTGCTGGCAACTGGTGATGATGATGCCTATACTCCTCTGCTCCTTTCACGTCCACGGTCGATGCTCCCAAGATTGGAGAGCCTACCGCCGATGAGACGATAGTCAAGACATCGAGCGCGAGTGCACCACAGGCGGCGGCTGGTCCTATAACCCGCATATAGCCGCACAGCGAAGCCGAGTGACGGACACACATGATCGATAATCTGCGGTGCAGTGACGGAGTATCCAAAAAGCGATTTTGTACCCGCCCCGCCCATTTTCATTCCGCGTCCCCCCCGCCCGGAAACGCCATGGAACACGCTTCACGCTGCTGCAGTAGTCTGTCACCACTCAGTCGCTGCTGCTGCCGCTGCTCTTCCTCTCTTGGTGCACTCCGACGACTATGATACGGGGGAGGAGGCTTGGACAGGCGTGGAAAGCCCAGCAGTGCCAGCGATCTTTGAGTGGCAGCAGCAATTCGACAGGAACGACAACGGCAGCGGGGGGAGTTCCGCCGCCTGCTGCTTCGGCTGCGACATCATGCAGCAGCAGCAGCAGCAGCAGCAGCAGTAGCAGCAGCAGCTTTGCAGGGGAGGCCACAGTGGACAAGGGTGCGGCGAAAGCGGCAGCAGCGGCGGCACCCGTCGTCGTTTCACCAAGGAGTTCATGGAGGCCCAGCGAGGCTCACAAGACCTCGGCCACTCGGCGCGCGCGCAGCGAGGTGAACGGCATGCACGTGCATCCATGTGTAGACAACAGCAGTGTCCCTCTTGACCTCGATTGCTGATCCGAGAGGGCATCGTTGCTCATATTGTGACCTTGCTCGACTCTGAGCTACTGATCTTTGTGTCAGGGGCAGGGAGAAAACACTGGAGGCATGGTGTGCAGATGTACTATTGTTGACGATGTTGTTTATGAGCGCGACTTCTATATCTAGACAAACTGCTGTCGGTATGTACCGTATGCCCCAGACATTGCACGTAGACTACCCCTCGAAGCAGCTTCGTGCGCGTCCTTGCGCTGTTGGCACCATCGCGTGTTCTGGCTATTTGCGCAGTGAGTGCTGGCGGTGAGCAAGAGCACACACCGGTCGTTTTGAAACAACGATAAGCAAAAAAGAGTGTCACAGCAGGTGGTAGTAAACCAGGCAATGAGTGTACTGCTGTAGACTACCGAGTTGCCCTGGGGAGGCCTCTCCCCCCCCCCCCCCCCCGAAGTACCATGCAGGTGCACCCCGGAAAAAGGGTCCGTTTACTTCGTCCTGCAACGAGGATCACGGCTTTGATAGCAGCGGAGATGGATAAGTAAAATCTAGACAGGAGGTCGATCAGCAGCAAGGCGAACGTATCTGTTTCAGGCGCATGAAGAATTTTTCCTCGACGTTCCCGCGGACCCCTCAAATGGTGTTCAAAACCGCCGGGATACATAAAATCTAGACAGGAGATCGATCAGCAGCAAGGCGAACATATCTGTTTCAGGCGCATGAACAATTTTTGTTGACGTTCTCGCGGACCTCTCAAATGGCGTTCAAAACCGCCGCGGCGAAGCGACGTTTAGAAGCCGCAATCAAACCATTAAGACTGCCGTAGGTGACGTGAGATATCACACCCCCTGGGCCGATTTTCAAAGCTTGATTACTTGGCTGGGAAAGCAGTGACGGTGCCGGAAATGGCGGAGTTGGAACCGTCCCGTCGAGAGCTTTCCGAACGCGTATCGTTTGCCTTCGGCATCCTCTTCGTCGTGGAGCAATCGAGCTTTCAAAAATCGGTCCATTGGGTGTGGTATCTAATGCAACCTTCGGTAGAATGCAACTACGGTAGTATGTATGGTCAGCGCTGACATCAAAATATGTGACTACTCAGCGCTGATTATGGTTGGTCGAATGGTTTGATTTCGGCTTCTAAAGACGACGCGGCTCGACCTTTGGATTGTTGAGAGAGCCGTTGTCCTATGTAGGTCGCTGTGGCGCTGTCGGCAGGCGCTGGGAGGTTGCGTCATCCGAGAAACGGCAGATGTTTCGGCTCGTGTGGTACTGTCCATAGATCCCAAATTGCAGCTACAACGATTCCAGAGCACCGGCAGGTGTAGAATAAATATACGTGAAGTCCTAATCATCTTTACTGGTAGATATTTCAACGCATACATATGCGCACTTTTGTCCGACGCCAACTTCGATGGGCCACACGGCCAATCGATGCCCCCCTTTACAACCTTGCAGGCCCAACAAGCCAACGTCAAGGCAGGTGCAGCAGTAGCCCCTCGAGCACCCGCGGCAGCGGCAGCGGCCGCCGCCGGCACGACAAGCAAGTCCAAGTCCCCCGGGCTTCGCCGTCGGGGGTTGCTAGACGGGGCCGATGACGTGCCATGGAAATCTTTTCCATCGCTGGTGTCTAGCGCAAGTGAGTCGTCGGTCAGGACAGCGAATGCCGGCGCAGCCGCAGCGCGCGAGACTCCCGCTCTCTCCGTCGTGTCGCGGTCGGCTACGAGCAGGTTCAGAGCCAGGAGAGAGCTCGAGAGGTGAGTGCCCTTGGGAGGGGGGAGGGGGAACCAGGCCAGCCTTTTCCTTTGCGGGTGTACGCGGAGGGACGGGGAACACCTCATTTTCGTCGGTGACAGGCATTCAGGCGAATGCGAAATACAGGTAGCCTTCTGGATCCGTTGTGCCTTGCAGCTTTTTTCGCCTGCACCGGTAGGTTGTGGCACCTACCTGTGTTTTTCTGTGTGCTGTGGTGAAGTGTACACAGCAGTTCGGCGATTTTTAACGAGTGCTCTTCATTCCAAAAGCCTATTTAACTTGGAACAAGGCAAACACGGTAAAAAACATCCCATCAGCAGGACGCCCGACAATAACGGCTACCGCGATACGAAAGCACGGCGACAAAGAGTATTTTGCCTGGCGCAACTTACAAAGCCTGCCGGAGTTCACTAGAGGCAGCACGCAACCTCACTCCTGACGCGGTTGGTGTGCCATGTGTAGCCAGGACAACAAAAAAACGCTACCCGCCTGCGACCTCTCTGACCCCCGATGCAATAAAATCGTCTCGTGTTCGAATCGATTGTCACACGGTGGCGCCAACTCCTGGCACTGCTGTCTGCGTTCAAGCCGCGTTATTCCTGTTTTTTTCAGGTTTTCACTGGGTAGCGAGCGCCCTTTCCTTCCTCCCCCCCTCACCGCCCGTGCGTCCTTTCAGGCTGGCCGCGAGCGGGAATGAGGATGCAGTAGAGGCCTTGCGCGCCTTAGACTCGCCGACGACGTCTTCCCAGCCTGTTGGTGGCGAGGGCGGCGGAGCCGAGGGCAGAGGCGGAGGTGGAGGCGGCCTTACGCCATTAACCGTCCTCCCCGTGCTGCTCGCCCTCGTCGGCGCCGGCTACTTCGCCGTGAACGACCTGATACCTCGGGAGCTGTCGTGGGCAGGCGGGGGTAGCTCCGGGGACTCAGCCGCCGCGGGCGACATGGAAGACGAAGACGAGTCGTCCTCCTTGTCGCCCCTCTTGAGAACGCTATCTCGCGTCGCGTCGTTCGTCCCCGTGTCTTCATCTACCACCACCCCCACCTCCACCTCCACGAGCGACGACGACGACGATGATGATGTCGGCGGGGCCCCTTCGCCGGCAGAAGCCGCCCCAATCGAGGAGGAGCAGGCGAGCGAAGGCCAGAGAGAAGAGGGCTGGCGTCTTTGGGGCTGGTGGAGGCGCGGGAGACCTGCCGGTGCCGCCGCCCAAACGGGAGAGGACCTTGTAGGTAATAGTGGGACGTTGCCTGAAGACCAGGTTGTGACAGCCGGGGGGGGGGAGGAGGGGCTACTTCATGACGAGCAGCAGCAGCGGCAGCCGCGCTGGTTGAGATGGCGCTCGTCGTCGCCGGTACCGCCTGATTCTCCTGAACGGAGCGTGTAGCAACGGATGGAGCTTCTTGGGTGGGAACCATCGCCTATGAGCTTTTTGTTTTACTAAACGGCGTGAAACTGTTCCCAAATAGGCCGAGCGTTGTATGCATCTTGTGTATCACAAGGCCTATGGGTTAGGGATTTAAGCGTGCTGCCGCTTGGAGTGAATGCTAGCGCAGGGTTGCGCTACAAGTATTTTCCTTCGCCACGGTGGCGAACGTTACTTGTGTTGAAAGGTTTTTAGTTTCTCGATCGTAGTTTGCCTGCTTTAGTAGCTTTGTTGTGAGGATAGAAGGCTTTCGAGCGGATATAACACTCCGAGGTTGTAGCGCGCCAACGGGGCGTATGAATCGGGATCTTTCATCGCGTAGCCGTGGCCCCATCCCCTGAACACGAGGCTTGGGGCAGATACGTACCTGGTAGGACGAAAAAAGTGTTTTGTAGCATAGGAAGTGAGACGTGAATATGTTGGTTTTGCATCCCAAAACGAAGCTCATGCCATTGATTTCTCAGAACCCACTAGAAAAAGGTTATTAGAGAGTGTGCATTTAGGGGGATTTTGGTTGTATCTCGAGACAGAAAGAGAGAATGAGCGCTGCTTTCATGCAGCGATTGTATGCATAATGTAAAAACTCCAACTGGTGGTGTCGCTCCGTGAACGGCCAATGGTTGACTTCCACCGAGCACCTCGCGACGGCGTCACGGTACATGCTCTGCCCTTTTCCTAGGTCCACCGTGTGCACCGTATGCAGCAGTAGAAACCTGTTGACGTGTGGTGGAAATGGGAGACGGGCTGACACAGAGGAAAGGGGAAGGGGGCTGTGCCGTACTGCTGTGTATGCAGCACTCAGCTGCAAGGCAAGAGACTTCTTCTCTCGGACACCGTGCATCTCAAGACCAAACACGGAACACTTGCAGCAATGTGCTCTGCTTAGAAATACAAGGACCATACGGGTAAGTATGCATATGACGTACTGCTGTAAGTATCCCAATCGTCCCCGTACTTCCAACCAGAGTGGTCGACACGAACCAAGCCTCCCATCACGTTGTGCTTCAACAGCGGATGTGGCTCGCTGTCTGACAGCGAAACACGACGTTTTCGTGTCTTTACGAACGATAGCAGCGTCGAAACGAATCAACCAAGCTCCAGCTCCCGCCTTCGCGCACCTCCCTCTGTCACGCCTTGGGCTTTGTGGTATGTGCGATGTTTCCACCCCGCCGGAGGACAGACAACAAAACGGGGTGAGGAAACGCACGATTTTTTTTTTTCAAGTGCATATTGTTCCATCATCACGTCTTGCACGAGTTGTGCCTTCCATTACTATACCCTTTCTCGAGCATCTTTACTTTCGAACATTCGCCGCGACTATCACCGCTCAAATGGTACCGCGAGCCGGTGGGTGCATCTGCCCCACCCCCACGCCACCCCATCCCCGTCCAGTTGCAGCAAAGTTCAGCCACGGCACACCACCTACAAACCCTTTCTTTAACTGCCCCTTCCTGCTAGAACTCATCAATCAATCCCCGTAACGGCACTCGTGGCCACGAAATCCACATAATCTCGTCAAAACCTGCTATTATAAACACTGCTGCTTTTTGCACGTCGCGTGTATGCGCGCGCGCGAAACTAAATGTGGGTGAGTTGTGGCTCTGGGATCACGAGGAGCGTTGCGACCCACCGTGTCCAGCATACAGATCGCACCGCAAACACTAAAAACTAAAAACCGACGCCGAAAGACACCACCACCAGTAAGTCAAATCCTCTTCCACCCAGCAATATCGCCAAGTAAAACAGCTGCTGCTGCGCCACGCCCATAGAAATCATTTTCGTATGCGGACTGATCGACATCTCCACAACATAATCACCATCTTCACAAAGCGAAGGCACCATCTACAACACACCACATGTGCGAGGGCATCGGAGTCGCGCACACGGTATCCCGGGGCATCCCCCTCCCC